GCAGCTGCAGAGCTTAGTAAAAAAGATGCCTAACCCACAGCTCATTTCTCCAACTTTCTGCTTCCCTTTCCCCCACCAACTAATAAAGATAAAAGGCAGGAATAATAGACCTAAGTCACCCTCCCTCCCCCTGCCTCAAGTTCTATTGCAGCCTGATATACCTTATTTTAATGCCGTGTGATGCTGATTTAAAGTATGTGGTCATTAACTATGATTCACATCTGCTAGACTATTTATGAACCTGAAGAAAAATTTAACAAGGAAAGAAGCCTATAAGCAGGGAAGAGTGGGAGTAGGCAAAGGTGCCTTGGGCACTCATCCATATCCACAAGGGGCCATCTATACTTTCCACTCCCTTACTGGAAACTGCAAACAAAGTAAATGGACAATAATTGGGGAATAGTTAAACAAATTGTGGTACATAAAATATAATGGGTTATTACTACACTGCAAGAAAGTATACATATGAAGAATACTGAAAAGTATGGAAAGACAGTGAACTGATCCAAACTAAAGTAGGCAGAATCAGGAAAGCAATATACATGATGACTACAACAATATAAAGGAAAAGAAGAAAAAAGAAACATATTGCTGTATAATTATAGTGACAAAGCTTGACCTCAAAGAAGAGAGATGAGAATGTACCACTCTACCTTCTTTGCAGAGGTGGAAGACTGGGGAATACTGTATATAATGATCAGTTTGGTTAGTGTGTTGGTTAGTTTTGCTAAACTGCTTTTTTTCTTTCTTTATCATTTATTATAAGGAATGGTTCTGTGTGGGGGGGAATGGGAGAGATATACTAGGAAATGAAGATGATATAAAAACAAAAGATATTGATAAAATTTAAAGAAATAAAATAAACATCCCAGCAAGAGGAGGTTGAATATGTAGGTACACAAAGACTTGCACATAGTAGACACTGATTGAACATTTGCCAAATGAATAAATGAGAGTTGAGAAGGGCTGAAAGTAGGTCATTTGTAAAATTGGTGTAGCACTGAGAATGGGGCCTGGGGCAGGTTGGAGGAGAGAGGGATGGATATTGGATGCTAGACAGGTTGTGGGGGAGGGAGGAAGAACTTTCTAGCTTGGAGATTGCCTCTTTCCTTCCCTCCTTTCACATTGGGTTATTGTCTTTCAACCCCCAATCCTCCTCCTTGAAGAGGGGTGCACATTTTCCACTCTCCTTCTAAGCCTGCACCTCCCCCACTCCAGGGCCCGTAGTCCCTGGATCTGTGTGGGAGTTGTCTTCTCTGCCACCTCTGGGCCCAGGGCTCACCAGAGGCTAAGGTTCTCCAGCTGCCTGTTTGCCTCTGCTGAGGGCCTGGAGCTCACATTTCCGCTGAGCCTGGGAGGCCCCAGAGAGAGGTCTTTGATTCTTACAATCTCCAGCCACCTTGGAGATAGACTATACATCCTGTGCCCCACTGCTCCTCAGCCCTCGTCCTCAGATATGCATATGTGAGCTCTGGTGTATCTAGCCAAGGGTCTCTGTCTGGCCCTAAGTGAGTCTGCCTGCATCTATGCTTTTTGATGCTGATACCTAGAACTCTCTGCGACTGCATTTCTGTCTCCTACTTCAAGAGGCTGCGCCACCCAGCCTTGCTCTAAGCCCCAGCCCCTCTGCTCCATTCTTAGCAACCCCATCTCCGGCTGCCACTCTGTTCTTTCTTTCTCTTGTCTGTAAACACCATCCAGTTCCCTAGTAGGAACCCAGACATTTGATAAGCTTTGATCTGAAACAGGTCTTCGAACTGAAAACAACCACCACAACAACAACTTAAAACTCCACGATTCAGATATGGGCCTAGGAGATAGAGGGCAGGGGAGGTGACAGAGGGAGGGGTACACATGCACAAAGGGAAAAGGACAGATGGAGAGAGAAGGCAAGGAAGTCTAGGGAGAGATAAAGATAGAGAGCCCCAGAGTAGCTCATTAAAACAATAGATATATATACATACATCACACAATGCGCATACTCAAGCCCCATGCAATCACACAATTC